TTTTCCACTAGTCCCCATGTGTCCACGCATCTGAGCTTCTTGCAGCACCTACATTATCTATATAGATTCGCCTTCATATAGGCACACCAGCCACACCAGTCAGAGCATGAATACGCATCCACCATAGGCGGACAAGGCTCGAGAAGTACCCCATTTAAGTTTTTCTAAGGAACTAGCCTGCCAGGAGATAGAGAGAGAGAGAATTCTAAATCCTGCAAAATAGCACAAGACAGTAAACGAACTGGGGATTCTTTTCTACTTTGTTGTGACACCAAAGTGCTCTGCATGCCTCACTTGACCCATACATGACACAAAGGAGGGGGTCTGACACTAGGTTCTTTCTGGTACTGGTAGCATAAAGTTATAAACCCTTTGAGTGAAACTTTGAACCCATTAAGAAACAGAAAGACCATTCACCTACTACCTCACAGAATAGATCTAATGAGGGATTTAAAATGACTAGAATCTCTCCTTTAAAAACCACAAAAGTAAAAGAGAGAGAAAGAGTGTGTATGTGTGTGTGTGTGTGTGTGTGTGTGTGTGTGGAGGACGTAGGCTCAACTCCTAAAAGCTTTATTAGAAAAGTTCGGTACAAGAACACCAATGAAGGTCCTGGAAGAGGAGTTGAAGAAGAAGCAATTGCATATTGAGACCATAGAAGCACTCACTTCCACTTTCATAGAATCATAAGTCAAAAAACAACTGCCACATCCCTTCTTTCCACCTAATGTTCGAAAATTTGCCCGCCCAGCCACCTAGGCAGAAAAATTTCAAAAACACCTAGACACTAGGTAGGCGGGACTATTAGGCATCCTGCGTCTAGGCACCCGCCTTGAGACAGTTAGGAAAAGAGGCAGAAAAAACCCTGGGCGAGGTCAAAAATTGTCATCCCCCCCCCCTAAAAAGGAGGGAAACGGGTTTTGGGGGATACGCTAAATCCCCAAAACCAAAACCGCGCGTTTTAGTGAGAGAGACTTCCCAAAAACCTCTCTTTTGTGATTTATCAAAAGATCGATATATTTTTTATTTTTTTGATGTCTTCCCAAACAAAGACAATAATTAGTGAGTGTTTTTGGAGCCTCCTAGTAATCGATTTTGAGGGCTTTTGGCGACCCAATAGATGAGGCTTGCACCGACATCGATTTGATTTTGATATTTTAAAAATATTATCATATTTGAATAAGGGTTTTGATTTGATTTTGCTATAACATATTATGTTGTGAATCATTTGCTTTTTCTTTTACTTTTTTTTCTTTTATAATATATTTACATATTGGTAGTTGAAAGATTGAATTTTTTTATAATTGAATTTTTCTTCATTTGGATGCTGAAATTGGGCATATATTGTATTCTTTTATGAACAGTTGATTCTTTTCTTGTACAATGTGTCATGTTTTGATATTCTATTATTTTTGTTTTACTTTATTTGATAAATTAATAATTATGTGATATCTTAATAATTATGAGTTAAGTCTTGTGTGAAACTAAGATCTTATATATTCATTTAAGTCTTACTGTAAAATTACGTCTCACTGTTTTGAAACTAACAGTACCCTGTTCCTCGGCAAGTGCCTGGGCGCCTAGGCAGCCAGGCCCCCAAAATGCCTAGGCCGGGCGCCTATGCTTTCTTGAACATTGTTCCCACCAAAACTAGAAAATTGTCCGTGCTCCTGGCAGTCCTTAGTCACCGCTCAAACAACCATCCAGGTGCTCTTTTTTTTCCTTTTGTAGTTTTTGTAGTGGTCGGGGATGGAAGTCACCCCAAATCTGCTCCTAATTGGGCTCTTTCTGGTAGCATAATGTTATGGACCCTTCGTGTGAAACTTTGAACCCACTATGAGATATAAAGAAAATTCACCATCTAAATCATAAAACAACTTCCATATTGAACAATTTAGGATAACGTAAGGCTGTCGTAGACAAGCCATACTTTGGATTCACTGAAACCATGAAATTTTGAAGCCAAAAGATTTCATGTTTCCACAGGAGCATACTGTGTCCATTTACTCCCTCGGTTAAACTCAATCTACGGTACATATGAATTGTTCAAGTAATATTAATTGTTCAAAATTCTGTAGTACATACGAACCATTCAATTAATGACTCATTCCATCTCTTTAACATCCAGAAGGCCAATTGCTACTATGTGTTACCAGTGTACAACATTTGATTATAGAATATCTAATGAACGGTACATATCAATTGTTCAAGTACATATTAATTGTTCAAAATTCTGTAGTACATACAAGCCATTCGATTAATTACTCATTCCATCTCTTTAAAATCCAGAAGGCCAATTGCTACTGTGTTACCAGTGTACAACATTTGATTATAGAATATCTAATGAGCGGATACTATATCAATCGTTAAGTCAATGTGGATGGCCTCGAGCTTCATCAATAATTCAAATCTCAGACTTGGATCCCAACTGGCCACAAACCAGAGCCCATGTCAACGGTCCCACTCAACCGAGTCAGCAATCCAACTCAGCCGAGTCTCTTGAAAATAACAAAAAATCTCTCTCGCACAAGGAGACTCAGCCTAGTCCTCAACGTTTCTGAACTGGGTCCAGCAGAGTAACTCAAGCGAGCCCAAGCCCGAGTCATCAAGTTTTGAATCATTAAGTTAATCCATTTAACACTACCCCACAACTCCAAACACCCCAATAAAAAATTTTTGAAGAATAGACCTTAAGAGTCATCGATTGTGTCTGTTGACAGTCTGGCCTCATCTTCTCTTCGCGAACTAACAAAGGATGTCAACATTGACATTTCGTGCAAAATCTCATGTAACAAAGCAAGATCAGAATGATCCACATGGCATCCCCTATTCAGTGCAAGTCTTTGAAAAGCATTACCTATGATTTCTATTAAAGAACTCATACTACAAATTAGACACAAAAATGTGTCCCTTATCCCTAATCCTAACAAGGGGTATAAAAACAGGATGGTATGTTCCTGGTCCTAGTTCTACAACACGCATCAATAGGATACCTTGTGAGTTTACCACATTCTCACAAGATACAGCCGAGATACTACTACTTTTTTTTATGCATGAAAATATTTCTTGCAAGCTTCCTTCCCCATGTCAGAATAATACCAGTGAATGGATTGCAGGGGATTAGCTCTAAAATCAATTTGGTTTGATTCATGGCTTACAGGAGGGTCCTTGTATGCGTTGTATTGGTAAGTAATCACAAAGAGACTTGGACCTTGGAAGATCCCCAACTATCTCCCAATTTTATGACGGAAAGGAAATACACTGTGACTTCCTCATCCTACAAGTTGGAGGAGATTGCGGGCTTGGAAGCTAATATTAGAAAAGGCCTCCTATCAGCGTGGTGGGGATAAAGATGAGCTCATATGGGTGCCTAAGTAATGGAGAATCACCTTCAAAAGTGCCCATGAACTTATTAGAGAGTACAGGACCAAAAATAAACGCTTGAGGCTATATAGGAAAAACCAATACACCGACGATCTCATGGTTTCCAATGTGGAGCTTATCAAATAATGCTACAACTGCAAATAGAACACAAAAAATGGGTTATCCTGGGTGCAATAGATGCTTCTTATGTAAACCTGAGACTGAAATCATGATCATCGCTTCAATATATGTGCTTTTGTTGGTGAGATTTGGAAAGCAATCATGTGGAGATCCAACACCAAACTACAACCAGCTAAAACATCCAAAACCTCCTAGAAATCAGTTCTATAGAAATTCAACAAGTTGCTAGACAAGCTTAGGAGTAATTCTCTCCACTCTAATTTGGGTCACATGGCAAAAAAGATATGGCGGAAAAGGGAAGATCATTACGATCCCATTCAACTATGGGAAATCCTGCAAGTAAAGATAATCCACACAATGAATGAAAGAGTAGTCATCTATGAAAGATGGAAACACAAATTCTCAGTTGACCTTAAGTGAGATAGAGCAAATGTGTTTGTTTTTCACTAAGTAGATAGAGAAAACACTAAGTAGATAGAGAAAATGTAATGGATGGAATTTCCATAGTAAATATTATATTGCAGTGAGGTCCATAGAAAACATAAAGTGATAAACAAAGACATGTAGTGAGGTACATAGTAAATATTATATTGCACATGGACTAGCACCACACTCTTGTACATTTTCTCACAATTAATATAATGGATGGAATTTCCACATAAATCCCTGCTAGCGTAGGGAAAGAGAGAGAACGAGAGCGAGAGAGAGAGAGAGAGAGAGAGAGAGAGAGGCTATCCCCAAGTCATCCACACCCTACAGAGAAAGAAAAACTTAAGCTCTTACTCTAATCAACAAACAAGATACATCAATAGGTGTCTAACTTACCACATCTAAGAATGTCATGCTTCCCAATATGAACAGCACAATATTATTAAAAAGCTACCAATTAGCTACTAATTAATTTATTTGTCCTAAAACAGCCTCTCTTTCATCCTAATCCACCAAAATGGAACTGCAACTATTCCCAAAGTAGTGATCAACTAACATAGCGCCTCAAATAAAGAGGAACCTAAGCAAACAAATCCAGACGCTTTCAGTTCTTAATTCAGAGTATGCACTTGAAGAAGTCTATCGGCTCCATCACCATCCAATGTTGTTAACCATAATGAGGACTTGGGCTTGGGCTTGGGCTTGGGCTTGGGCTTGAGTGGTTAGAAGTTAACGTCAAGCAAAGCTACATCTCAAGTTCAATTCCTACCACTGAACTACCCAAAAAAAACAACATTAATGAATAGATGGTAGAACTTGCAGAATTAGTCTGTCAGCTCATACTAACTTGCTACCAGCATTACTCAGTCCACAGGGTCTTAACCATAATTATCTGTTACTTGTATTTAATGAAGCATGTTACTAGTAGAGTTTGCATGAATATCATGTGATTATAAATGAGCAAGACTAATACATGTAAAGTTCGCACAAATATCAATGAACTCTGACGAACCATATTGGCAGATAGAATGTAATATATAATAGACCCAAAAAGCTATGATGACTACCTTTCCCAACGCAATACGAGTATACAGTCTTTGCCGTTGATATCTATTCTGCAGAAGCATGGCTACACCTTGCATCATAGCCCATGTCAAGAAGAGCTCTATCCCTCTCTGCATATCATTTCACTCAAACCATATAAACCCTCTCCATCTAACAATCAATAGATAATAAAAAATATTTGCTGGCATATCAATGAAATATAACGAGCAGAAACCACCTGCTTCTGGTAACAATCAGGTTGTCCTTTTATCTCCCACGTAAGACTGACAAGTGCCATCATCATGGCACAGTAGTGGTGGTATATCCACCTACACATGCAAGAAGAGTTTCAAACAAAACTAAAATGTAAACAACCATCAAGATTCGCCATAAGAATAATAATTAATTCCATGTCCAAACACAGTAAAAGGGTATTCATGAGACTCAATTTATAGAAATGGTTAAGACTACTTCATAAATTGCATACACCATATATGTCACGTGAAGAGAACAGCCTCTTAACATGTTAGATGTAGTTCATAACATCTACAACATCTACAACATATAGGGACATTTTGGCATTCGACTCATTAAAGGTAAAAGTGATAAGGCCATTCACATTTCAGTCCTTATAGGACCTTGTATATAGATGCATGAGTCTAAACCATTGGTTCAATGTTTACATCTTAGTTAATTTACTTCAGTACAGTTCAATGAACATGGTATTTGAGCTCTACAATGGGGTCTAAGATTTCTAGAATGTTATTGCATTAGGGGCCTCCAAGGATTATTGACATTGTACTAACAACTTCATTAAACTAAGCTCATTGAAGATCCTCAAACTTGCAAAATGCTGCACTACCAACCTATTTAAAGTAAATTGGAATGTCTTTAAAAATAATAAATTAGAAGCTTCATGTGATGCAGTATCCATTTAACATGGATCAGGAGATTCAAAACACAGTCAAGAGAAGTCAAAATAAATGGAACTTTTATAACTTGTTCAGAATGGAAGCAAATCTGGAGCGAGATAGGGATTGGGAGTGGGGGGATCATGAAAGGGAGAAGACCCCTATGGTTTTTGTTTTTTTTTTTTCTGCTTTTTTTTTTTTTTTTTTTGAGACATGGTTACATACGAATGGAACTTGAGACGTAGGGCTATGAAGACCTAGCCTCTACCATCTGGACCCAAGCCCTTTTCATGAGAAGATCCCTATGGTTGGGAATTTTGTCCATACAATTCATATATTAGGGATACACCCCTAAAAGTTAGGAATCTCGATCCCAACCTTTTGGGGATCTCGAACCTTTTGGGATCTTGATCCCAACCTTTTGGAAATTTGCTCCTACTTAAAGTGTGTGTGTGTGTGTGTGTGTATAATTTATTATACATACTCTTTAAAGTACGGATCTCATTGTTTATAGCCAACTAGCAACACAACTATATTAAAAGAGAACTTGCATTGCTAGCTGGCTTGAAAATTATCATTTTTGTTATTATATGGCCTTTTATGGGGGGGGGGGGGTTGAGATCCCTAAAGAAAAGGAGAGAAAGAGGGGTGGGGGAGATCCTTTGAAGATCCTCTTCCCGAAATGTGGGAGTGAGATTCCGGAGTTGAATTGCCACATAGGTTGGGAGATCCTAGCATTACACTTTTATTAGTTGAAGTACAGCGAGTATTTATTGTGCATTGCTAACAGAACGGAAGAGAATTTGCATCCTAGTGGTCCGTGAATGAGAGGCCAATGGTGTGGTAAATAGACTTGACAAGGAAGGGGGCTAGCTTGGCAAGTTTACAAGAGAACAATGTGACTAAACTTAAGTCCTAATGATCCTCATCATTCTCTTATAACAACTTTCCTCTCTTCGTTCTTGTTTCTCAATGTTCACCCCTACCTCCCATCCTCACAGCATACGTAGACATCTCAGTCGCATTCGAGTTAACCATACCTCTTTCAATTTATGTCAACTATCAACAAATAAATAAATCAATCAATCAAACTTGTCAATTTTAAATTCATTTGCTGCAACACTAATTTTTTTTTTCCCGAGGAATACTGATTCACTAGTTTCTATTTTACATTGGAAAAAAGGAGAATATAATAGATTTTCATTTCAACTCAATTGGACAAATAGAGAACAATGGAGGACCCACAACACATTGTCGATGCTGGGACAAGGGACCACTCCAGTCATTCAACAAAACAAGAGCAGCAAACCAGTTTCTCATTCAATAAATACACAATGCAGAGAATTGAGAACATGCTAGAGCTCAAAAACTGCACACCACTCAAGAATGAAGAGGAATATTGGACTACTAACATCATATGTGGATAAAGCTAGATTTTCTAATTGTTCACAAATTTATCACCATTAAATGACGAACAGCAGTGTGCAAGATATATTATTACTTGTGCCCCACTGTCTTACAAGACGGAGATAATCTCATAGATACCCCCAAAGCCTACTCATCTTCAGGACTACAAAGTGTTCATCACGCATAAATTGCAAACATATGTCAGCATTAAAGCTTTTAAACTCCACAATAGTCCTCTTTCCACTGTTAATGATTTCATGTCCAATATTATAGCACAAAGAGCTAGTGGCAAATACATCAGTATGATACTATACCACAAACATGCAAAACCTACAACAAGAAAAAATAGATTGCAAGGTAAATAAGCTGCATCACAAGAGTTTAAAGAGCAAAACATTGAATTGGATATGCTTTCCACCTTTCGCAACAAATTCTGAGTTTCATAGGTCTGTGCACCACGGACCAGGGCCATGAGGCATGATGGCACAATATGGTTTGCAGAGCCAAAGACACACAACATATCAATGTTTTAAAAAACGGACCGTCCAACGCCTAGGCAATCCAAAAGGCCTGGGCGCATCACCCAGGCCTAGGTGGGCTATCCCTAGGCGGCTGCACAAGGCCTATGCCCCGCCCAAGGGTGGAAATGCCATTTGTTGAGGGGCTTTTTTGGGGGTTTTTTCAAAAAATATTATTTTTAAAGGTGGGTTTTAGGTTAAGTTGACGTTATAGAAAAAAAAAAAGGCTGAGTTTTAGGTTCATTTGAAACCTAAACCCACTAGAGCTCATTTTCGAGAGAGAGAGAGAGAGAGAGAGAGAAACCACCAAAGAAACTAGATTTTGTGATTTTTGTTGGATCGAAGTGTTTTTCAAAGTTACAACAAATGGATTCAAACATCACCCATTAAGATTAGATTTAGTTTTGGAGTTTTTATAGGCCTATTAGAGGGTGTTTTTGAAGATTTTAGCATTAAAAAACATCTTAGAGGTGGAAGTTTGGAGATCGAGCAATTAAATTAACTGCGAAATTTTATTTTTTTGCTTGCTTTTATCATTTTGAGATGTCTTCTTCAAGATCTAGTCGAAGTAGCGATCTAGGTTGGAAATATGGATATAACCCAAATCCTTTGGATAAAAATTGCATAAGATGCCATTACTGTGAAAAGGATACAAAAGGGGTCGGTATTAAAGGGAATGTTGCCCCTTGTAAAAATGTTCTTGAAGCTATCAGAGAGGAGATCAACCAATATATGAGTTTAGTGAAACACATAATGAACAAAATCCTTGTCATTTGGATAGGTCTACTTTTGGTTCTGTTAAAAGAGGTGATCCGGGTTGGAAGTATGGTTATAACTCAAAACCAAACGATAAAAATTGTATAAGGTGTAATTTTTGTGAAAAGATACCAATGGGGGTATTAACCGATTCAAGAAACACCTTGTCGATATTAAAGAGAATGTTACTTCTTGTAAAAAAGTTCTTGAAGCTATTCAGGATGAGATTTGAATTTAATAGAACCAGTAAAAGAAGAAAATAAGCCTTTTTCTATGGAAATATCTTCTCTAGGTTCTTCTAGAAGTGGTGATCCAGATTGGAAGTATGGTCATAACCCGAATCCGAAGGACAAAAATCATATTAGGTGTAATTATTATAGAAAGTATACTAATGGAGGTATTTACCAGTTCAAGAAACACCTTGCCAATATTAACAGGGATGCTACCCCGTGTAAAAATGTTCCTGAGACTACCAGGGAGGAGATTAAACAATATTTGAGTTCAAGGAAGCACAAAAAAGAAAGAAGAGGGTGAAGAGGCACCAGGTAGAGCAACCAAGACACCTAAGGCATCATCTACACAAAGTAAGAGGGAGGTAGAAGACGAGAAGGAAGATGCAAATTCAGAAGAAACAGAGGAGAACGAGCATTATGCTGAAGAGGGAGATGACTCTGATGATGATGTACTCGAATCTAATGCATATGATGAGGCTTACCCTACTCTTACTGATAATGATGATGATGACTAAAGAATGAAAACGCTCGACTCTTGGTGTTCATTATTGAGTTCTAGCTGTAAATTTTCTTTTTCTTAATTTTTAGTTTCTAGTTTCTACTATCTAACTCTTGTGCGTATGCTTGTATGGTTCTAGCATTGTATGGAAATATGGATTATGGACTATCTAAATTCTCCTCATTCATGAAAATATGGATTATCGATTATGTATTATATAGTTATATTGTTAGACTTAGACACTTAAACTGCAGTCATTTTTCTTTCTATTGGGCCGCCCAAGTTAGACCCCCCGACAGCCTAGGTGCCACCTAGCGTTTTTTGAAACACTGCAACATATAATTAAATATGCTCAAAGCACCTGATAACACTAAAATCAATAAATTCAGCAATTGTCCAAATCCGTGCTTTAATTTTATTTTATTTTATTTTATTTTGAGGGGGGGGGGGGAATGTTTTAATTCAATGTTTTAGAATAAGAGAGGGTTTTGACTCAAGGATCCGTACATTCTTGCCATTTTCAGCTGCGGAAACCCTTCCACCATGCAACCTATCTTCTGCATGCTTGTCTACAACCAATGCACAAATCACTTGTAGTGAACCCTAAATTGCATTTTTCTAAAATTGGATTTTTATTAAGGTTTTCTCAGTTATCTGATTTTATTGGACTCTTCTCATTTACCTCTATATGGAAACAAATGGTTTCTGATTCAAAAGTGAGTTCTCCTGAACCATCTCTAAGAGGATAAGTAACAACGCCTGGGCCCATGTGCAAGAAATTCCGAAGAAAAATACAATATAAATGTAGGTACAACAAAAAGGTAGATGTGGTGCAAGGATAAAAGAAGAGCATTCAAGCAAGAAGGGATGTGCTTTGATTCAGAATGTAGGATAAATACAGCTACAAATGACTCAGAATGTAGGATAGATACAGCTACAGACATGACTATGACATAACTTCCTCCCCTCACCCGTCCTCCTCCTCTCTTCTTACATCTCACAAATGCCTCTGAAGCATCTGAAGCAAATACAACATCCATGCTGGAGTTATCCATGCAACATAGCTCTTATGTGCACTATCAAATGAACAAGGTCTCAGGAAACAGATAATAGTGAGAAACAAATGCAGTAATATGTAATTGATGAAAATGGAAACCATACCAAACCCCTAACACAGAGCAGAACAAAAAGCTCCAGAATGTAAGTAAAAGACCAAATACGCCACATTGTGTCTTCCTAAAGACCGGGAGGTAGATTAGAATTTATATAAATTTTTGTAAGTGAAATCAGTTGAAACATTTAGAAAAGTGTGGCCCAGTCTCTATATCAGACTGTGGACTGCGCCATTTCTTCAATGGGAAGCTTTGTTTTCATTCACCTCTATATTTTCTTGTGAACACTTTCTTTTTTTCTATCTTTTTGGGGAAATTTGTAAACACTTAATCTGTTCACAATTCCTCTGTTCTAACCACCAAATGCCCCATCCCATATATAAGGCCCCAGATGTATCACATTTTTTATTATCAGAGGCATACCATAGTATGCACAACCCATAAACAGATTCATGATTATGATTAATAAATTCTTAAAATGCCCAATTTGATTACATGTCGATTTATTCTGAGGTAAGATCCGATATCACATACTTCATATCACATGAAGGAACGATGTTGGAAGATTCTTATTAATTTATCAGGTACACAAGCACAAACTCTCAAGATATCATCTCGCAAGAATCAGACCGATCTTCGCAAATGAAACCCACATAGTGTTCAACAGAAAGGTGATCATGGACAAGGCAGATGAGATGTATATCCAAAATTTCCTCCAACAATTTTTTATAGTTAGGGGCCCCTTTTCTACCTCCTGGATCTATTTCTTATTTTTTGTTTAGTTTTCTTTATTTCAACTTTGTTTACTTTGCCTATCTTCTCCAATCTTTTCATATCCATTCAGTTCTTCTATCCCACATTCAGGCTAACTAAATAAGAAGAATAATAGTAAAACATCAACAGATGTTCCAAGGTCATTATGCATTAAAAGTTACTAATAGCATAAGAATCAACAAAACGTAATACAAAAAAATAGAACCCAATGTCCCTTACCATGGACGAATATCACTCCCATTTATTCGCAGTATGTTCTCTCGCAAAGCCAAACTTGTGTAGAGAAATAACAACCAAGCCTGGATAACATGCAGAGGTGAGTTTTCATGAAAATAGAATGTCCGCCCTCAAAATACCAGACTAAATGAAAAGAATGAAGTTTTTTTTAGTGTTTAAAAGCCGGTGACTCTGGCTCGGACTTGCCCAAGTCACTCGGAACCAGCAGAGAGTTGGGTATAGATGATGAATAAACCCAAGACTTTGGGCAAGTCTAACCCAAGTTATCGATTTTCATTGTACTATTTCTAGAGACTTGACCAAGTCTGACCGACAACTTGGTCAAGTCATCCTCCGACCCAGCCTCAGAACCCTGGTGACTTTGAGCCCGATTCCAAGCTTTTAATAACTGGTTTTCTTATTCCAATAAGTGTAAGTAACTATACAATACCTGATATAATTGAACAGCCCAAGCAGGAAAACATCCTTTCCAGATTGCATATCTTAGAATAAGAAGTGCGAATGGAAATAGCAGGAACATAACAGCTGTCCTGTCCTGCCCAATAGCATCAAAAACACAAAATAAGAGCATTACACATCAGGAGAAAAATTTAATAACACCTACAAGAACAAATTCCCCATAAACCAAATTATACACCAGGTACCCCTGCCAACATGTAATGCTCAGAACAAGGTTGAAGAAGTGAATATTTTTCACACCAAACTATATCAAGAATTTTAATGCAGCTATCATCAGACAGTGCAATTAATTTTCCAAATAGACCTCAGTGCATCATCTTGAGCACCGTTTGTGTCTAATGCCTTCAGTCCCCCGTGAAACAAAGGTACATGGAGTACTACCAACAAAGAGCTTTAAATGTCAGAAATGGAAGTCACCAAATGTTACCAAGGAGTAGCTGACAATGTAAACATGCAAAATAGATATCTGAAAGAATTTAAATCCATGTCCCAGATTTCAGTGACAAGCTTAAAAACTACCTCAATCTTATCCACTGCATAACAGCTTGTGAGGTTACATTATTTAAAAACACAGACTTACAACAAGAATTACTTGATAAGCTGCAAATGTCATTCGCCATAATGGTAATAATCTACCTATTGAAATAGCAGCCATGAAAGCATATCCAAAGTTTTACTTTATACAAGAAAAGGAAGTAAAAAACACAATGGAGCAACTCTTTAATAAACCATACAGATGCAAATTTTTCCACATTTTATTGTTTTATTAAGAAATTATGCAGACCAAACGCAGAAAATATAGGATTAATTCCAAGACATTCACATGAACGCTATCTACCATTATTCAATGCATCCTCTATCACCGCACCAATTAACTACAAGCACAAGAACATTAGCATGCAGAAGAACAAAACCTTCACAAAACAAGACCATGCATGTAGAATTTCACAGACTACATGCTTAATATGCTTACCCGGTAATTGTTGTATTCCTCTTTTACTTTTAACTGGACATCTTTTCTAGTCGCACGCACACTGATAGGGCCCAGGAACATCCTCAGGAACTTACCTGAACAATTTTCACCAATTTTCACGAGTATGGCACCCTCACTTTCAAACATTGTAAACCATAATTAAAAGGAAATCCAAAGAGCAAAAAGCACTCATAAGACAGCAAATTCACAGCATAGTACCATTTGATTTGCTTGGAAGAAGAGAAGAGACATCTCCATCAGCAATCATGCATTTTGCCCTTGATAATTCTTCCTCCAACTTGAAACAAGCAATAAAAATGAGAGATAATCAGTAAAAAATATTTGACCAGGTTCATGGGAAGGATAGAAGATAGCAAAACATCACTAAAATACTGAAATAATAAAATAGGACAAGTTGTACTCAGAGAATAGCCAAAACCCAGTCTTCTGGCTTAAGCTCAGAACCAAAACCAGTATAAATTTTTTAATGCAGCTCAAAATCATATAAAAAATACATTTTTAATCAAGCTGAATAAAATACAATCCAATAAACTCTTAGGAACCAGAGATGCTTTCTTCACAGTCTAACGAACCCCAAAGTCATGCATATTAAAAACAAATTTGACAAATAAAAATAAAACAATAACATTAAAAAGTCCATAAAATCTGATGTAAAACGCCCTACTTATAATAGATTTGTCAAAAATATCCAGACCAAGAAACCATTTCAAAATCCTAAAGCACGATCAAATATGATCTAAATACACCTTCTCTGCTTCTCTTTTATCTAACGTTTCACTTGCAGATGCAGAAGCAACACATGCTTGAAGCTTCTTGAGATCAGACTGCAGAGCCGAGACCCTCTGAAGGATGGACTGCTCCTCATGTTTCATCTTCGAGAGAAACGACGAGGCGCTATCCTGCAACTCCTTTGCACGATCAAGCAAGTGACTCACTTCTTCCAAATACTGCACATCCTTATTAGTGCTCGCCATTTCTAGGGTTTGAACAAGCAAAGACCTAGCTTGCGTTCGCTCTCCTGCTTCTGATAAAACGGGAAGCAGAAACCTAGGGCTTCTTTTCTCTGAAACCGATACTAAGCTTCACTACTAGGAAAATTGAGGAAACCGAGGTCCCAAGATTGGAAGCTAGTGTCTCCGAACAGAACGATGACAGTTCTCAGATATGCAGCTAGAATCTAGGGTTAGGGCATGGGAAACACAGAAATTGATCCCTCTTTTATTGAATTGCGGAGCTTTTATTAGCAGATCACAAAAATGGAGAACTGCAAACGTTCTTAGTCTTGCAGATGAAAGCAGTAGAATAAATAGAAATGGTAAATCGTTTCCCCTCAAGTAACTGGAATATGAGGCAAGCGTTTCCCTGCAAGTCTCACATGCACAATTGCTCTGACGAGGGCATCTACCTTTTTGGCCCTTAAAAACATTTCTGCCTTTCTTTTTTCTTGTTTATGAAAATGTTTGTTTTACGGGAATGTATCCGTAAACCTTTATCTCAAAACTCAAATATTACAGTTTTGGTGTCAGATCACCTCGTCCTTTCCGACTATGGATATGAAAAAATTGGTATTTCAAACCCTAAAACCGATGTATGCTGTAGCAGATTTTCTTGAGTGCCTATTTCACCCTAAAAGTAAGTGCCTATTTCACACTAAAAGTAAGTTTAAAGTTACTTGGGATGTATATTATTTTTTTATCTCCAAATTTAATAGTTAGTATTGAAAATTGATTTTAGAGCATGATGGAGATTTTTGACACATCAAATGCTTTTTAGGCAAGGATTTGAGGTGAGGCTTTATGTTGTTTACGTAAAGCCTAGGCATTATAGAAATTGCATGTAAGAAAATGTTTTGATAGGGATGCATGAAAAATGCTTTTATAGGGCAACATCCATATAAGGAAATGTTTTGATGGGGTTGTAATTCTCTCAAAATAAGCAAATCTTTACCTCAAAATGTGTGAAAATTTGTAGATCTGGCGTCAGAAGCCAAATCGATCATCTCAACTTGACTATTATGGATGTAAAAAAAAATAAATCAAGCCCTAAAAAAGGTCTATATTATAATATAATATCTAGACCATCTATTTTGTCCTAAAAATAAGTGTTAATAGATCTGCAAGATCTTTACTATTTTTTAAGCTTAAAATTTTATAATCAGTGATGGAAATTGATTTTAGAGTCATCATAAAGATTTCCAATACCACATTGCTTCCCGAATGATAATTTGAGATGAGGCTTTATTTTGTTTTCATAAAGCTTAGGGCTAATAGAAAAGAAAAAAGTTTATATACAGTTGCAACCTTAAAATATAGAATTACAGATGCACCTCAAAAATCCATCGAAAAATGTTGTTTTAATTTTGAAAAACCCTCTAATGAATCATCTCAACATCAAGATGTATGAATACTAAAAAAAAGAAAAAAAGTTTTTGAGTCCCAAAAATAGTGCATCTTGCAACACATTTTTTAGACCTTCAATTTTCAATTTTTTTATATTTATATATAAAAATAGATTTTCAGATGATCCTAATAATTTTTTACTCCAAAAATACATGTTATGATAAAATTTGGAGGTGCACTTTAATTGGATCGTTTAAGGTTGCAGCCTTATAGAAACTACACCCAATAAAAAATGTATCCAATAGAAAAACTTGGGGAAGATAATTTTCTTCCCTCTATTTTGTTTGTTTCGAGCCACGCTCTCTGGGGATCATACTGCTGGACACCAATTCTACCAGGCAAAAGATAAAGAAAGCTTTTTGTTTTTTTTTTTGTACCTGAGATTTTGAAAGTTACCTGAAAAGTCATTAATATATGTTATGAAAGAATATCAAATTTCAATTGCCAATTTAATAAATATCGTTAATTTTGATAGCATGTATGTATTTTATGTATTATGCGAACAATATACTTCAGTAATTTCCACTATCTCCTCATAGTGATAAGTGTAGATGAATTATACCGCCAATTGACTGCACAATTACGAAGGCGTTGCTCATCTCCCAAGTTTTCTTTAAAAACAGATAAAGAGCTTAAATGTACACATAAAAGGGTACGTATCTTTTCAAAATAAATATAGGTTTTTTTTTTTTTGTAATTTAATGGAGAAGACAAGCCTTTATTTTTATTTTTATTTTTATTTTTTTTAATTAGACTAAGAGTTAGCTTTTTAAAAGTGTTAATAAAGTGATGTTAGTGGTGAGAATGAACACCGCAACGTACGACTAGAGAAAGAATAACGTAATTCATAAGATCATTAAGGGCCATTTAAAGCATACACGTTCAAGGCATCATAGTAGACCCACCTTTAAGCCTTGTCTTGTTCTTGTTCGTTCTTATGTTCCTTAGGATCATAGTATTCTTGTAAAAGAGCGCTCAAGTGGCTATATATCCCAAATACATGTTTTTTATTTTTGGATTGTATGGCAGCCCTATCATGTTAGCACTAGAAGGGCACAAAACCTTCAGACTAGAAATAAAAATAACGGCTTATGAGATTTAATAGTAGACACGGTTTCTATGAGTTCATGTATAAATGAGTCACCTCTTAAAGATCTATTTTTGAGATGGATTTTTGGATTTAATTTTTAAGGACATATAATATCTAACATGAAGATCATAAAATATGATAAATAAATAAATTTTGAAAATTAAAAATAATAATTTATTAAGAAAACATGTGGATTATTAGTTTCAATTGTTTTTAGATGGACCACCTATTTGCATCCATCTTTAAGATAGATGCTTTATACCTTAGGATCGCATAGTGTAGAAATGCGAGCCAGCCCGCAAGAAACAATTGTTCTTTAATATTATTAATATTAATTAGATTGAAGGTGTTGGTGCCTTGGAGATTGGTTAGGTTAAATTGAGGACAGAAAATGGTACAATTAGCAATATGAAAGCTCAAACGTTTCTTGTTTTCGAGCATGCAGGAGCGCTATCTCACGATGATATGTGCCCCCCTTCAATAGAGTATTTGACATACATAAGAAAAGCAATTCATCATCAAGATACAAAAAAACAAAGATGTCTATTACAATGTTCCTAAACTCTAAGCACCCGAGCTTGGTACCCATACATAAGACACTAGAGTCTTGATAGTTTAGAAAGAGAGAGAAAGAGACAAAATCGAGTAGAAAAATAGTTTAGCCCACTGGTTAGCTTGCTAGAATTATAGATAATGGTCTATTGAGAGAGTTGCAAAAGTTGTAAAAAGGGTCTCTTCGTATGGCAAAAGGACCCTTTAATGTAGAGTCATAAGGTGGCTGCATATTTACTGTAGTGGTGGTTACATATACCACTAACAGCTACAAGTTACATGTAGCCGCTTAACTTACTTGGTAGTTGTTGTTACAGCCTCTGTTTGCCTCCATTTCATCAACGGCTATGAGACTGTTGAGTGACTCATATGCATCAACGATTAGATGACCGATGGATCCCCCTACGAGCCTGGCTCACAAAAGGATAACGAGCCACAAGCAAAGTGCGTCATCAAGGGCCTTTGTGCCCACGCCCTCGCACACGCACATGCACGTTGCACATTTCGCGTGCTTTGCACATGCACCTTCTCTTTCATTTGTACTTAGAGTATATTGCATCGGAATGCGCTCTCTTAAATATAGCTCAACAAACTCTATCCTCTTCAATGTGGGACTCAAACCCACATCTTTCTCTCTTTACGAAGTAATTTAAGCAAGAACTATAAAACCAAAGTTGTTGCTTTGAAATACACTAAAGCATTTTTCAAGCCAAATAATAAAATATATTATTTGCATACCATGAAAGTATCTTTCGAGTTGAACATTCACTTAGAGTGTACACTACAAAGTCCATCAAGTACCGTAGTAGCATATAGCTTTGAACCAAGTTGCTTATCTAACGGACCGATAGTATAACTCACAAACAATATTCAGCTCTAGTGTCTTTTTAGCTGTCATCACATTTTGGGCCTTGTATTTATATCCCGATTTCATAGGTGCTCTAGAGACGAGTCCATCTCATAAGAAGCGACCTCACTTCCACACTTATATAGGTGTATTTATCAAGAATGTCATTTGTATATAAAACACTTCGACTTATAGTCCATTGACAACATTAAGAGTATAGTTCATCCTATTAACATACATGTCATCAATAGGCTTATCCACCATATGGATTTTCTTGGAATTGATGCTTATTATAATTTATCATCTAGTGACCAAACTAACCATACGTACAATTTGTTTTTACCACATTGAACTTAGAATTTTGAAGTTACAAAAGATTAAGTTGGGTGCTGTAGATGATTACTCAATGAATTTTAGCCCCATTCGTTTTGACATCTTACTAATGTCATCCCTTGCAATGCCTTTAGTTAAATGATCAGCCAAATTTTCATTTGATCTTATATATTCTACGTTAATCACTCCATCCCCAATTAACACTTTAATGGAGTTATATATTCTCACAATATGTGTAGATTTTCCATTATATACATTATTACAAGCTCTCGCAATAGTAACTTGATTATCACAATATATGGCTATTGTATATGTTAGTTTTGGCCATATGGGAATATCATATAACAATTATTTAATCATTCGGCCTCTTTGTCGGCAAAGTCTAAAACAATAATTTCACACTCTATAGTAGAGCGTGAAATACATGTTTGCTTATTTAAAGCCAATAATATTGCATTACCCGCTAATGTAAATATCGATCCGGATGTTGATAGTGAATCTTGGATTTCATTATTCTAATTAGCATCACTAAACCCTTCCAACACTCTAGGAAAACCCATATATTTTATGATATAATTGATAAGTCCTTTTAAGTATCTTAATACTCAAGATATAACATTCTAATGCTCTTTACTTGGGCAACTTGTATATTTACTAAGTTTCCCCACTGCATATGC